GAAAGAATATATTTAAAATTTTTCCATATACCTCTTGTAGATCGATGGTTTAGTGGTTAGGTTGAGTGACTTCACTTACTAAAGTATTTTGATGGGGCTGGGTTTGTGTCCAGCGTTGGGAAATGTGAGGTAATTGACTCTTTTTTCAAAAATAAATTTTTTTAGCTTTGATTTTCATTTTAAAATTGCAAATTTTTTTTTAATAAAAGAGTGAAAAAACTCTAAAAATTAATTTAGTCATGGATTCTCATAAATTTCTGTCCGCGGCGAAGAAAAATTGAAGAAAGCATACCAAATTTTTAAATTTTCGCTTCAGCGCAGAAAATGAAGAATATCTGGGCTCTTAGCCTTCCAAATTTCTCAAAATTTTCGCCTGCGGCGCTGAGGAAAGAAGAACTCTGGCTTCTTGGCCATCCAAAATTCTCAAAATTTTTGCCTTCGGCGCTGATCGAGGAAAAATTTGACTTCTTGGTCTTCCAAATTTAAAAAAATTTCGCCTGCGGCGCAGAAAAAAGATGAATCTAGCTCCTTGTCTTTCCTACATATTATCAAAATTTTCGACTCGGCGTTGAAATGGAAGAAATTTAACCGCTTGGCCTTCAAAAATGCTCAAAAATTTCGCCTGCGGCGCTAATAAGGAATATGTCTGGCCTCTTAACCTTTCAAAATTCTCATAATTTTCACTTGCAATGCAAAAAACCGGAATTTTTTGACGCCGAAGGCGGCATATATTAGCAAATATTTATGTGTAGCTAAAGTATTTTACAATAAAAATTGTTTAATTCTCGAAAGGCCTCGGAATCTGAAGCTATTAATTATTTAAAAATAGCCGAATTAAACAAATAGAAAAAAAAAGTTCAGAATAAAAAAATTTTTAAAATTAACTTTGTAAACTAGAATAATAAACATGTAAGTGAATTTCAAAAATTACATAGAAGAAGAATCAAAAAAATTAAAATTGGGTATTTTCAAGTCTAAGAGAAGTTAATAAATTCCACTCTAGTTTGACTCTCTGAGTTTTCCCTTGATGTACATACATAATGATCAGATTTTATCTTTTATTAATAATGCCTCATTTTAGTATGCTAAAAAATATAGAGAAGGAATTGAAGAAGTAATCAGCTTGACTATTAAATACATTTAAGATAAACTCTGAGCTACAAACTAAAGGGGGGGGGTATCCATAAGTACCTAAAAGCGATATATTTAGCAGTGTCTCACTATTAATTTGTTGAATAAATATTCTAATTATTAAATCAACAGATCCAAAAATGTTTGCCTATTTATTTATTCCTCTGGTAATTATTATTTCTTCGAGCTGCAGCCATGGAGTGCAGTTAAACCAACAATTTACAGGCTCCTTCACATTTTATACCGGTAATGGATTTGGTGCTTGTGGCCAGCAGATTAATGCAGATACTGAAATGCTGGCTGCTATTAGCCATACACAATGGACTAGTGGAAATCCAAATAATGATCCAATTTGCCGTAATATCTGCCTTAAAGTTGATTATAAAGGCAAAAGGTAGACATTTAGAATTATCAACTCTTATACGGAAATAATTTTATTTTTAGTATCACAGTCCCCATCAAAGACAAATGCCTAAGTTGTAAATCAACAGACGTCGATTTGTCAAAAGCTGCTTTTGCACAGCTTGAAAATTTGGCAGTAGGGCGTGCTAATGCCGTATTTACATATGTTCAATGCTGATGGATTGATATAATTTGAAAAAAAGAAATTAGAAATATATAAAGGAAGAATAAGAATTAGTTAATGAAAGAACTATTAATGTTTAGCTAAAAAATTCTGATATTAGCTGCCCATGAATATAACTGAATAAAAGCTTAAAAAATTTTTAAAAGTTCTGATAAAAAATTTGGCAATCAGGGTAGGGTGCCAAAAAGGACCGACTCGGACCGAAAGATCGAGTCGCACCTAAAAAATTTGAAAAAGACGTACGGCACTGATAAAGTAGGCCCGTTGTGACTCCTAAAAGCCCGACTCAATAAAAATAAAGCCAGAAAAATGATTCGACCTTCGGTCCGACTCGAATACGTCAATCCTAATAAGGGCACTAATTAAGCTTAAAATTGTCGTTTGCGTTGCAAAGTAAAATTAGGTTTCAGTTGAAAATTGCTTGTGAGAAATAAATATTTCAAAAATAATGTGTGCAGTACTTTTATGTCATCCTGCATATTTAATTTAAAGTGATTGATCACTCGATTATTTGATCATCGCTCTTCACCTGATAAGAGATGATTCTCGAACGATTTTCTCGATTTATACTTTAATTTTTTGATCAAATCAAAAAATTTACTCAGAAGCCATAATTCCCCGGCCTGAAATTTAGAATCAAATTTTCCGAACCCTCACTTGGAGCCCAAAATTCCGCTGGATCCTAAATTCCGAAAAATCTTAGAACCAACATTTTCGTTTCGGGTACTAAGCCAAAATTTTCCATTTCTTTTGATTCTTATGTGCGCATATTTAGTCTCGGTCCTCGGCGAGGTTCTAGGCAGGACCGAGACGAGGTAGGCTTGTCTTGTATTTGTTGTGATATCAAAATTTAATACTGTCTCTTTTTTCTTATCCAATTTTGTTTATCTTCTATATTCATCAGGCTATTAATTAGCATTTATAGATGTTCGAGAAAAAATATCAATATTTTCGAAAATATTTTTGGAATTTTGTTCAAATATTTCTGAGCAATATTTATAAAAAATACACTTTGGCAAACCTAACAAAGCAAATAAATTTTAAGCTAAACGTGGTTCTTATCAAAATAAGAATTAAACAAAGTAACAAAACAAACAAATAAGCTATAATAAAAATTTTTTAGAATTTTTCTGTTTTTAATTTTTAAATTTTTTTGAATAACATGTAATAAATTTTAAGAATAGAATTTTATAATTCAATAAATAATAATTATTTCAATTAGTGTTAGTTGATGATGATGAGAGTTGATGATCAGTTAATGATGATAGTTGATGGTCAGTTGATCATTGGCCAGTACTCCACTGTTTACGGATATCGGTGTTTTCGAGCTCCAATTTAAAGCTCGAGTCAACTAGAAAGATCAGTTTTGGATCTGAAAATGAACCCGAAAATATGTGTCAAACTTTAGTTTAAACTAGGGTTTGACCCCGAACGCTCGGGGGCGGGTATGTCGGGGTACGGGGTTTTCGAATTGTTTCGGGGCGGGGTTCGGGTCGGGAGAGCAAAATATGGTCGGGGTTCGGGTCGGGGTACGGGGTTTTAGGAAAAAATTTTTTAAAGAAAAAATGCTCTAAAAATGAGCCATTTTGGGTCTATTTTCGTTAATATATTCACAAATTAATGAGAATAAGGTGTGATTAAATGGAAATAAGAGAAATTTGAGTGATTAATTGGATCTGGAGGTGATTAAGGAGGATTTGGAGGGATTAAAGCGGTCCTTGGGTCTTCTGTCACTACGCCGTTTCAAGGGATATCATTGATTTAAGGGTTATCGAGTGATTAGGGATTTGGAGGATATCAGTGTAACTCTTTCTTTTCTGCGCCGCAGGCAAAATTTTGAGAATTTCATAAGTCCAAGAAGCCAGATTTTTTCGTTTTTCGCAGGCGAAAAATTTTTAAAATTTTTTAGGTCAAAAAGCCGGATGTCTTCGCTTATTTTAGCGCTGACCAAGAAAATTTTTGAAATTTTAGCTAAACAAAAAATCTTTACATTGTTTTTTATAGTTGATAATATTTAAAAATAAGATTTACATTTTAAATTAAAATTAAGTTCTTGATTTTGTAAAGAAAAATCCCAAAACAAACGAGCCCAGCTTATTTAGATCCGAACCCAACCCTATATTAATGGAAATATAGGCTAAAACCAACAACTAAGCCACTCAACCACTAGTCTCTTAACATACAAGGAAAAAGAATCATGATATTTCTTTCATTTTTCTTTCAAAAATAATAAAGGCAAAGTAAATTGTGAGGAAATTTTAAAAATTTTTCTCTTAAAATTCTCCCAAAAACGGCATTTTTTGGTATATAAAACCCCCGATAACCCCGAAACTTTTCGGGTCGGGGTACGGGGTTTTCACTTTTTTTCGGGGCGGGGTTCGGGTCGGGGAGAATCGTGAAAAAATCGTTCGGGAACGGGGTCGGGGTTCGGGGTACGGGGTCGGGGTCGGGGTCAAACCCTAGTTTAAACTACTCAATACAGAATGAATTCGAGATTTGTAAAGGAAAAATAATTTTTATTTCAATAAATCTCCATAGGGTTTTTTAAATTGAGAAGACAATTAATAGGTTAAATAATCAAACAATTTATTAAATAAAAAAAATACATAAAACGTGTAATATTTTTAAATTTTTATTTGTTTGTTTTCTCTAAAATTAATATAAAATTTATTAATAAAATGCATCAAATAATAAAAAGTATTTTTATGAAACGTGGATTGTAAGCTATAAAGGTTGTTTTCGAGAGTATTGTTAAACTAATATAAATAAATATAAAAAATCTTCTAATAAAAAATAAATATAAAAATTCTACTAATATAAAAAATCTTCTCTTCAGCCTATTTGAATAATCTGCCTTTGACCACTAAAGTCGTAGAAAATATTTTTTATGTAGTAAATTTAAAAAAATAAATTAAAAGTCTAGAATTATTTAAATAAAGGTTAATTATCGGCCTTTCTCTTTTAAGTAATAAACTTTTAATTTAATTTAAATTTATTTCATAATATGATGAAATAATAAATGTAAATACACGTGAAATAAAAATTATTTTAAAAGTCTTGTAAATGCACTTTAATTAACTAATTCGTTGAAAACTTAAAGGAAATGCTAGGTTATTTTCACATGTTTTTAAATTAAAGGGCAATCGCCAGACTTCCTCTATAAAACTTAGAAATATTCAAAGTGCATGCATTCCCCCAAAATATTTTCCATTTAAGTACGGAATTAAGTGAGGAAAAAATCAAAAATAAATTCAAAATTCAAACAACTAAAAAGCCCCCAAAAATGATATTTACTCAACGCAACTTTACTCGATTAATGTTTATGATGATGGCAAAAGTGTGGGGAGTAAATGGAGGTGGAGGTGCAACTGCCCCGATTTCCGCGTTCTCTTCAGCCTTTGTGCCACCGATGCATAATAATATGCCTCTGAAAAAATCGCCAACGAATCTCCACGTTCTAGCGCTTAATTCAGGGAAGAAATCTTTTCCGGCTGTTCAATCAAAACATTCGTTTGATAATCCTAAATTTGCAATGAAGCATAAAAATGCTCTTGTATCGAATTTAGGGGAAACGATTGGAGAAGAAAAAAATAAAGTTGTTGCCAATCAAGAAAAAGATATTCGTCTACTTAATGGCGCCGAAACGTTGCCGATAGCATCGCGTCGCCTTTTGTTAGAACCGAACAAATTGAAGGCATTTGATTTAAGCAAAGAACCGTTGAAGACTTTTGATCACGCAAACGCAGAAATGATCATTAGACACGCTGTTCCAGAAGGTATTTTTACTCATTAATAAAAGTATTAGCACTTCAGTTATTTTTTGAGCTCTGATTACTACTCGGTTCCAAAATTTAAACCGATCTCAATATTTCATGTCCCATTCAATTCTTATAATAATTTTTTATAATTATATAGGGCGAAAGGATAAACAATAGTTAATATCGAAATGAATTTTTTAATTTACAGCTGTTGAATTAGTTAACTTTTTAGAGTTGCAGGGATGATTCACCTAGTAGCATTTACAACGCTTAGGCTGGGGTTAAACGATCTAAAAGGGAAAAAAAAGAAAGCATTAGTCGATGTCCTGGTAGTTCAATTGTAAAGCTCCTGTAGGTGGTGAGCGAATCCTGCCCTGTGGCTAAACTTATGCTAAACTCTTTTCTATAGGTGAAACTAAGTTTTAAGGTATCCCTCGATTAAATTGCAAACTCTTTCTGAATAGAGGGAGTATATACCTTTGTTTTATTTTCTTAAATCAAGGTTTTTACACAAACTTTTTAAATCTAAAAAAAACAAATTGGACATTTAAATTAGGTTTGTACCAAAAACCCTGATCTTTTCTAAGCAAAATTAGAAAGTAATTTTGAGTTAAAAATGATTTTATTTTTAATTAAATAAAGATGCCACCCAAATGCATCAATTGGCAATTTCTTTAATAAATTCTGAAAATGTTAAACCAGAAATTGAAGTTGAGCAAATTGAAAAAGATTTACAAGAAGGTTTTGTGCATGCTTTAGTTATTGAAATTAAGGAAGAAAAAAAGATAATTGGTTATCTTTCATATACAATTTCTTCCTCATTAAATGGAGGAAAGGTTTAAAAAGAATTGAAAAAAAAAATATTTTAAAATTAATTTATAGGTTGTCTATTTGGGTGATTTAATTTGTGAAATTAAATATAAAGAACTTCCAGTAAGATTGTATGCAGAACTTGCAAAGGTTTATTATAATAGAGTTGTTGGTGACCGGCTTATAAACCGAGACTCGAAAATTCTTCTAAAATGAGTGATTTTTTAGAAAAATTCCCCAAAATTCTAACTAAAACACAAAACAGAAAATAGGGTTTCTAAACTTTGGATTAATCAAACACGGAGGGTAACGGTTAATAACTTGGTCGCCAAAGACCATGATTTATAAATTAAAAAAATATTATATGAAAATATTAAAGTTGTCTGCTAAAAGTGAAGAAATAAAGGAAATTCAAGCTATAGCCAACAGCAAGTCTGTCGGGTATTTTCTCTTTCCAGGAATGGATATTGTGCCAAAAGAAACTTTTTGGCAATTACAATTAAATGATAATGAAGTAGAGAAAATATTAAATAATGGAGTGAATGTACTTTGTGGAACTTTGGTTGGGGGGGGTTTAAATTAATTTAAAAAATATTTTCTGTAGAAATCAACAATTTATTTGCCTGGTAAATTGAGTGGAGATGAAGCAATTTATCTTATTAAACAATGGAAAGAGATGAACGGAGAAGGTAACTTATAAGAGAGAGGACTTCTTCTTGCAATTATGACTAGGAACTTTCGTCTTGTCTTGTGCTTAATAGAGAAAAGCAGCTGGGCTATAGCTATTTCTCTCCTTTAGCTAGTGCAAAAGGTTAATCGGCGGCTGGGAGCGAACCAGCATCTTCAGTAGACCGGACTGATGTGTTAGCCATTACACCGCGCCGCCTACTGCTCAGCCTTAGGAATTAAATAGCTATATGCTTTACAAAATTCTTAACCCTTACACAGTGAGCGTTTTAAATCTAATCAAACTTGATCTTCTTTATCCATTACAATTAACTGAGTAAAAACATTTAACGGATGGTAAAAGTTTTATTGGTTGAGTAAAAACGTGTCGAGCTTCACAAAATAATAAAAAATATCCAAGATGAATCAACGTCAAATTTAACGAATTTACTAAGAACTGGCCAAGTAGGAGCAGTAACTGTCCATTTAGATGTTCGCCCCTCAGTTGTTAGCATGCTTTTCTTCCATGGAAATTATTATTCTTTGTGGGATGGACAAGTAATTAATTTTTAAAAAGTAAAAATAATTTTTAATTTTAAAGAGTATTTGGGTAGATAAAATGTCTTTTTCCCCTTTACATTTTGATTGCCATATTCCAAATGCAATTTCTGCAATGTTTGGAAAATTGGTTGAGGTAAGTCTAGAATATAGTTCGAAATTAAAAAATTTAAATTAAGCTTTCAAATGCAATAGGAGCAAAAAGAATTGGTTGGATTTTTAATGAAGAAACAAAAAAAAATTTTTATGAAATTATGGAAAATGTAAAAAATAATTTTTATTAGAGTTGAGCGATATCGGTATTCCGAGAAAAAATCGGTATCGGATTTTGTAATGCTGATACCGATCACGATACCGTTTCGGTATTGATAATTGTCGGTATCGGGGTCTGCCTTTCGGTATCGGTATCAGAAAAATCGGTATCTGGATTAAAAAAACCGGCATAATACCAACCGATACCGGTCGGGATTCCGATACCACTCAACCCTAATTTTTATAAAATAAAAAAATTTCTTTTTAAAAAGATTGGAGCTATAAATATGACAAAACAAGAGGATTGGCATATTTATCGAAGCAACAAATCCGAATTTTCTGAATATTTGACAACTACTGGAGATAATTATATGAAGTTAGATGAGACACACAAACAACGAGCTAAAGATTTGTTAAAGAAACAGAAGGCTCGAGAAATGAAAAAACTTCAAGAAGAATGAAAGGAGGGAAAAAATTTTTTCTAACTGTAAAAAAACAAAAGTGCGCGCATGTTTTGATTGGCAATTTTTAAAAAATTTTTTGGCGCACCTCTTTGATACTTTCTCTATTTTAGTCATTGTTTCTTGGGATATCTGTATCCCAATCTAAATTTTCAGAATATCCAGACTTATTTTATCCGGATATTCGGATCCGCTAACTCTATTCTTTATTAGTTTTTCCAAACAATTTTTTATGCATATTGCATCTTTCCATTTTTATTATATTAATATTTTAAAATAATGTTAAAATAAATAAACTTCTATAAAAATATTTCTTTGATCTATTCCAAATAAAATAATGCAGGGTGGAAATAGGACTGAGAACTATTAAACAAACTTTCCCAACAATCCCGCCTACCCATAATTAATATACTCCAGAAATAAGCTAAGGAAAGGACAGTCTTTAGTCAATCCATTGATCATTTATGTGTATAATTATTATACATAGTATTACCCGGTCGGAGGAACTAGTCGTCTTTAGCAGAGGTGGGTCGGAATTCCGATTTCCAACGTTTTTTTCCTTCTGATTTCCGAGTTCCGACTTTTGAGCCAGATTCGATTTCCGGCTCTTCGCTTTCCGACACCTCTAACTGTTCCGATCCACCTCTGGTCTTTAGGAGTCAGGAGTGAATATTGTTCGACCGGACTAACAGCATTAATCTATTAATATTCCCTTCATATTCCATTATTCTGGGCTCAAAGCTGGGGATTCAGCAAACTTCTATAATAATTATTTTAGGGGATACGAAAAATATTTTAAGACAAGTTCTTAATTAAAATTTGACTTCCTTTAAAAATGTCATATTAATTTTTAATATTTTTAATCAACTTAGATTATTTGTTTTGATACTCAAAATCCTCAATCCTCAAAATATCTTAGTAGCTTTGAAAAAAGCTTTAATGTAAAATTAACCTAAAAAATTAACCTAAATTTTAGAATTTGAAAAATTATTCGACTAACAGAAATTCTTTTCTTATTAAATTTTTTTAATTTTTGAATACAAAAAATATTTCTGAGAAAATGTTGTTTGTTTCAGATTTAACAAATACTTTCGTGCGTCTTTGTAACTTTTGACTGAGAAAATTATTGAAATTTACTTTAAAAAAATTTAATAAATATGTAAATTTCAATAATTTTCTCAGTCAAAATTTAATAAAAACGCACGAAATTGCATGTTAAATAGTCTAATGAGACAAACAACTTTTTCTCAGAAATATTTTTTGTATTCAAAAATTATTAGTGCGTCAATTAAATACTCCATTCAATTCTCTATTTAATAAGTAAAAATTTTAACATTTCATTAAAAAATAAATTTAAAAAAATAAAATTAAAAAAATGTCAGTTGATTTACTTGATATTTTATTTAATTTTGATTATTTTGTTTGTTTATTAATTGGGTTTCCTTTAAATATTATTCTGATTGTTTTAATTATTTTTAAAACGCCAAAAGAAATGAAAATACACAGTCTAATTTTGATACAAAATTGTGTTTTGGATATTTTAATGTTGACTGTTCAATTGTTTGTTCAATTGGTAATCTAAAAAACACAAAAAATCATGGCGCTGGTCTAGTTTATGCGTCCAATGAAATTTTATGCGTCCAATCAAAAGAAAATTAGATTTTTCATGATGTTGTAAAATTGGGGTTAAATTTTTTGGTTCCAAAACATTTCTTCTTGGTCAGGACCTACGCCCACTGGCTCTAGGACCGTTACTTGCCATATCCCTCGAAATTTCTGAAAGTTATAGCCAATTTTTAAAAATTTCAGAAAAACGATTATAACTTTCAGAAATTTCGAGGGATAGGGTAAGAAACGGTCCTAAACCCAGTGGGCGTAAGTCCTGACATTGAGGAAATGTTTTAACCAAAAAATTTAACACCAATTTTGCAATATCATGAAAAATAATTTTCTTTTGATTGGACGCATAAAAGTTCATTGGACGCATAAACTAGACCATCGCCAAAATCATTTACCTAATACTAAACTTTATTATTATTTAAAGTTTTATATAGTCGATACAGAAGGGAATACAACAGTGATTTTTCCTAGTGGATTTTTGATTAGTTTTGTGAGAGATTTCAATCCAATTCTGTGTAATATTTTTTTCAAAATTTGGCAATTTATTTGGAGTTTAAATTTAAATGGATTGTGTGTTCAATTTATTTATAGATATTTGGTTTTGGTTAGGTAAATCATATAAATATATAAAATTGACATTAATTATGTGTTCATAAACAGGGGTGTAAGCCAAAAATGTCTAAAAACGACGCTAAAACGCAACGCCGAAATGAATTAGGATGGATATGTAAAGCATATAGCTATCACATCAGTCCGGTCTACTGAAGATGCTGGTTCGCTCCCAGCCGCCGATTAACCTGTTGCACCAGCTAAAAGAGAAAAATAGCTATAGCCCCGCTGCTTTACTGGTATCATCTGATACGTGAACCTGCAAAAATTCAAAAATTTCTGTTTCGGATATATCTGACTCGGATAAACTAAATAACATTCTAAGGGCTTATCGTGTTAATACAAATTGTATCAAAACCATTGAACTGCTAGGTTTTAGAACACGTAACATAAGCCTATTCTTATCGTCTTTCTAGTTGAAATGCCAGCTTAAATCAGTTTCCTATACTATAGGAAATAATGTCAAAAATTATACCCTACATATCTAAAATATACCGTATTTTTATTAGGAACATAAAAATTAATTTTCGTCGCTATCTATTTATGTTCTCAATGGCATTTTTTGTAACATTATTTTACATTTTGGATTTGTCTTTCTTTGTTTTACTATATTCTAATGGAGGTGTTAAATATTTTGATAATCTTGACAAAACATGGCCGTTTACTCAATTTAAAATGGGAACGGTAATTTTTAATCGAATTTAACTTAAAATAAAAATTATGTAGACTTCTGTTCTATCAAAATTACCATTAGCATTAGTGGAAATAATTTCATATTTAATAATATTTGTTTGTGGATTTAAAATGGTCAGATATGTCAAATTAAACTCTAATTTAGATGGAGAATTAAAAAGATTAAATAAATTGCTGACAAAAGTTTTGATAATTTTGGTAAGATGACTTAACATTTGGTCTAGACTGACCCCCTTTTCTTTTCTAATTTTTTTATTTCTTCTCTCTATGTATATATAGCAAATCATAAATAATTTGAAAGAGCTCTTTAAGCTGAGTCGAAAGACACTAAATTCAATGAAATCTGACCTAACTGAACAAAGTTATGATCATTTGTTTAACCTCTTCCTGCAACGGCACAAAAACAGCTTTCCCAACGAGAATTTAGCTTCATTACTTTTAAGAATTATCATTCAACACAGCTCAAAGAGGTCTTTCGAATGATAAATCAAAAATTTAATGGTCAGCGAAAAATGAAAAAAAGGGGGGGGGGATCTACCGAATTATTATCATAAGACTTTTCACATTTATCTTAACTGTAATAAACTACCATATTTTTCCAAATAAGTCCCATTCTCAATTAGAGCCCCATTCTCTAATACAGCCCTTCTGGAGGATGGTTGATCAACAGAGCTCCATTTCCTATTAGAGCTCCACTCCCTAATACAGCCCCCCAATATTGTAAGTCTAAGTAAATGAAAGCCTCCTGATCAACCAACTATTTTAATCAAACAAATTTCTTTTTTATTCCTTAATATGGATTTGAAAGTCCTCTTAATCCCTCCAAATTCACAGATATGCC